GGAAAGGGCATGGAGGCTCTGTGACTGCTTCTGTGTGTGATGGTAATTACATAGTATTAATTTAAAAAAACATTTTGAGACAGGGTCTCAGAATACAGCTCAGGCTAGGCAGGGCACCAGTGGCTCACATCTATAATCTTGGCAACTCAGAAGACGAAGATCAGGAGGATCGTGGTTCAAGGTCAGCCCAGGCAAATAGTTAGCAAGACTCTATCTTAAAAAAGCCCACCATGATAAAGGACTGACAGAGTGGCTCAAGGGTAGAGTGCCTACCTAACAATGTGAGGCCCTGATTTCCCAGTGTTGCAAAAAAAAAAAAGAATATAATTTAGGCTGTCCTTGAACTTGTAATGCTCCTGCAGCTTCATATACTGGGATTGCAGGTATATGCCACCACGCCCAGCTCAATTTCAATAACTAGAGGGACCCGTAGCAACTACTATGTATTCCACCTTGGTGGTGAGCACAGGGTGGCTGTTACATCCTGTATTCTTACGTTCCTTGCAAAATTCCATGCTTGAAAACACACAAAAAGGAAGAAAGTGTCACTGCAGATCCTTGGCTTGCAGGCCAGGAGGGCGGAGCCACAGCTGCAATGCAAACCTGAGGCCCCTGGGAAGCATCCTCAGTGGGTGGACAGATGGCAGGCCTGAAAGCACCTGCACACGCAGCCGTGTGCACAACTCAGGGCTCGGGCTGCCTCATACCTCTGCACCTGTTTCAGCCTTGGCACCTTGCATCCTGGGTGACAGATGTGTCCAGAGGGCCTGGGCTGTCTAGACACACACACACACACACACACACACACACACACACACACACACACACGAACACACATGCACAGACAGAAGGACAGAAACACACACTTCTGACTCTTCATATATATAAATATGTACTTATTTGGTTTAAGAAGAGTTGGTCTTATAAGTCAGTGGACAGTGAATAAAATTCACTAAATCACTCTCTGTGTATTTGTGCATAACTGCCTATCTGTACGTATATACACACACATATACACATATGTATATACAAATATACAATCTCTGTGTGTGGTTACATATACAATATACTTCATGATTCTTTTACTTCATTGGTTTAGGCTTCATCCACATGCTCTATTTCATTTTCAATTTTATGGAGGTGAAGCTTGCATAACACAAGAAAGTGGGTGCACCATGCCACCCCAATGACATGTTCCCTCCCTGGCTTCTCCCCTGACTTGCTTGCCCCAGGGCCCTCCCTCAGACAATCCTGCTTTCCTTGCCTCCAGGCTGATCTCAGACTCTGTCCTGCCAGCAATCTTGAACCAGGCAAGGCAGGTGGCAACCGCTGGAATGGGAGATCATCAGCTGTGGATCAAAGCAGACCAGCTGGACTCTGCCTGCCTCCCCCTGAGCCCAGGAGCCACAGGTGGCTGTTCCCCACCTGGCCTTTCTGAAGCCTCCCCTGCCTTCAGTTTCCTCTTGCTCCTGAAACCCATGTGGGGCCTCTGGGGGAGCCTGCAGAAGAGGGCACCAGTGTGAGTTCCAGAAAGCAAAAGCCCCATCAGCTCTCCATGGCACCCTTGAGAGCTGTGTGGGTTGAATTTCCATCCACAGCCTTGGCAGAGAGAGGCAAGTGGACAAGACGAGCATCTGCACTGAACTGGCACTGGTGTGACCTGTCCTGGCCCATCCTTACTTCTCCAAGAAAGACCTCATCTCAATGCTGTCTCCCTCCTTGCGGCATCCAGAGGTTGGATGTCTCCTGATGACATTTTGGGGGGGACCCTGAGGTTGACAAGAAGGGACTTTCCCCAACTGTCTCTGACATGGAAAAGCTGCTCCAGCCCTAAGTCTCCAAAACCCTCTTATGTGCCACCCTGGGGACAGAGCCCACGGTGACTCATGGCTGGATCTCACAGTCAAGGCTGACCACGCTCCTAAGGAGTCCGTGTCACTAGCTTTTCTGTAGTGTCTGTCTTGCCCTCATCCATTTGGATCTTTGCTTAGGATGAAATATACAATGCCTCTTTGACTGTGGCTTTGATTTCCTGCCACCAATTCCAGAGCAGCTGGAAAAGTCTTGTCTGACAGCCCTTCACACTTACTCAAATATTCTAGGAACTACGAATCGCCAAAACTGACTTTAAATGGAAAACAACATTCAATCAAGCCCTTGATCAGTGACAATTCCGAGCAGCCTTCGTCTAACCTCAGTCCTGATTGGTTTTACTGGTAAATTCCATCAAATTGTCAACAAGAAGGTCATTGTCAATTAGAAAACCATTCTCCTGCTAGAAACTTTTCCAGAGAAAAGACAAAAATGGGAAACTTCCCAAGTCATTACACAACCATGATGCTAAGGCTACACAAAGCCAGAACACACTAAAAAAAGAAGAAGAAAAGAAAAAGCATAATTGAGAGTCACTGCAATCAATGAACTGCAGCAAGCCAGAGTCACTGAGAGGCCACCTTGACTTGTAAGGAATCAAATTTGAAGACCATCAAGATTGAGATAGTCCAGGCCCCCAACCTCAGGACCGAGAGCCCACTATCAAGTGCCAGGGGTCTTAGAAGCTGCACACAGAAGTCCAGAGACCCCTGCTCTTTGCTGCCCCAGCTCACACATTCAGTATCTTTTTTATATGTATTGGGTAAAGCCAGCTGTGTCTCGTGAGTTTGACAGAAATCCAAACCCTAAACAAAGCAATATTGCAGCCCTACGAACAGATTAAAGAACCAAGACTACCTGATCATTCAACAAAGAATTTGTGATTAAAATAGCATCTGAGAAGATGCACAGTAGCTTGGAAACAATAAGACGAAATGCTAGGTAGCCTTATTAATCAATCAATAGGTAAACATTAATGGGAATGTCAGCAGAAATATCGCCCTGGACGGGGTGGCTGTAGATTGAGGCTGGCAGAGTGGCTCGAGTGGTAAAAGTGCCTGCTTAGCAAGCATGAGGCCCCGAGTTCAATCCCCAGTACTGTGCCCTCCCCACAAAAAAAACCCTAGATTTGTATTTTTACTCACTCAAATGAGTAAAAATAAAACATAGGGGCTGGGGACTGGCTCAGTAGTAGCCGATTTCAGCTTTATAGGACTTAAAAATGTTAAGATCATACATTTTATATTGTAGTATGTCTTACTGCAATATCTAAAAATTGGGAGAGGGGGGCTATGAGCAAACATTTTACCAAAGCAGATGTACGGAAAGCACATAAGGCCTGGCACCATGGCTCACACCTGTGATCCTAGCTACTTGGGTGGCTGAGACAAGGAGGATCAGGGTTTGAGGCCAGCCTGGGCAAATCATTCTCAAGACCCTAACTTCAAAATAACCAGAGCAAAATGGATTGGAGGGGTGGCTCAAGTGGTAAAGCACCTGCTTTGTAAAAGTGAAGCCCTGAGTTCAAACCCCAGTGCCACCAAAAAGAAAGAAAAGGTAGAATAGAAAAGAAAAATCTGTATTCATAGCAGCTTTGTTCATAATAGTCAAAAGCTGTCACAAAATTCAAATGTCCTTCCCTGGGTGAATGATTAAGTAAAATACAGTACACCCATGCCAGGAATACTACTCTGCAGTAAAAAGGAACAAGCTATTGATACGTGTGACACCTTGGATGGACCTCACAGGGGTTATGCTGAGTGAAAGAACAAATTGATCACAGAAGGTCACATGGTGATGATTCCACAGTATCCTTTGAATAAAACTAAGTTACACAGATGGAAAACGTTTCTTAAACAGGGTTGGGTGTAGCTGGGCACACTTAGCATGCATGAGGCCCTAAGTTCAATCCTGAGCACCAATAAATATGTGAATAAATAAACAAAATGTGGTGAGTTCCCTACACAAAGCATCACATTTTCTTTTCCAATGACCCTATAAGATATTTATACCCATGTATAGAAGAGAAATCTTAGAGGCTCAGAGACAGTAAGCAAATCATCCAAGACCACACAGCAAGGAGGGGGGCTCAGACCTGTTTGGCTGCAAAGTTGGTGTCTTTGCCTATGTGCCTTTCTGCCAACTCAGGGTGGGTTTGGGGATGTCTCCTGAGTCTGCCTCCTTCGTTACATTTTCTTCTAAATGTGTCTGCTTCCAAAAGATGGAAGTATTAATTGTCTACCCAAGTTATCCTGCGTCATCTGTCTTCCATGGGCACAGAAAACTTCACCCACCCTCCAAAGTTCAAGCTGCCACACATCCTAACAGCTACTCTTCATCAGCCTCTGGACAAGGTTCTGCCTTCAGAAGAGACCAGGGCCTCCACAGCGAGTAGAACTTCACCTGAGACAAAAATCCCATTGAAAAATTTTTAGGAAGATTATTCGACACAATGTACAAAGAATTCTGGGTTTTATTCTTAGATGGAGTTAAATAATCACAAAGTTGGGCGTGCACGTGTGTGTGTGTGTGTGTGTGTGTGTGTGTGTTTCACAACCTCATGGTCCTCACTGCCACCCTCCAGAGGTCTGTGTGGGCAGCAAGCTGTCAGTCTGCCCTGTGTGACATTGCAGTGAGAAACAGAAGGGACAGCTGGGATCTCAAGCAAGTTGACCAAGGCGAGCTCCAGTTCTAGCTCTGGCATCTGCAGCTGTCTGGTCCTGAGCAATCAGTCAGTCTCCATTTCTGAGCCTGTATCCCCATCATACCCAGTGAGCTGCTGGCCTGTCCACTCCATGTGCAGCTGGGAAGTTACAGGACACTGATGCAAAGACCCAAGCACAGACTTAGGAGCCCAAAGCCTGTCTGTCCCTTTGCTCCTGTGATAAAAGAAGGGAATCAGGAGTCCCCATCCGGAATCGACACTCCCATTGCCCCCAGAGTCTCAAAACCTCCCTTCACTCAACAGGCAGGCGCAGCCTGGGCTGAGAGGTGGGGTGGAGGGGGCTCCAGCCGCCACTGGCTACTGGGGAGGAGCATCTGCTCTGTCCCTCACCCCGCCCCTGCACCCGCCTCCTCCCTCCTGCATCAGTGACTTTCTCTTTCCCTTTGCAAACCTTGTGGTCCTGCCACACGAGGGGGTATGTCTGCAGCACAGGCCCTAAGCCAGGGGACAGAGGGAAGGATAGAAGGTGGATCTGAGCCTGAGGCAGTAGAACCGCCCCAGATCCTCCCATTCTGGGGCTGAAGCAGGAAGAAGGTGGAGCCTGTACTCAGACAGCCCTGGAAGTTATTCACAAATCAGGGGTCTCCCAAAACTTGGGGCCTGAAAATAGGAAATGCCACTCCAGCTGCCGGGACCAAGAACAAATCTGAGACCAGCCTGTCAAAGTTGCCTGGAACAGTCCCCACACATCAGGTACTGCTGGCCTTTTTGCCCCACCCGCCCTTCTGCAGCAGCCGCTCCTTTCTTGGTGGCCCTATTGTGCCCTGGGGCCTCTTCCTCTCGGGTCCCAGCCCTGGTCTCTTTCCCTCCCCAGCCTTCTCCATAACACTCTCTCTCCTCCTAACATCCTCTCCTCTGGAGAGGCTTTGCCCTTTTCAACCCAGGCCCCACTGCTACTTCTAAATTGGCCACCCTACCCACCACCTCCGCCCAGCTCCATTCTTCCTTCCTGTGGAGAAAGGAAAAATGTGTGGAGCTGTATGGGGCTGCCACAGGTCTTCTGGTCATTCCTGTCATTGATCAAAATTCAACAAAAAGTCTGATCAAAGCAGACTTTTGGCACTTTGAGTCAATTGCACTGTTTTAAACACAGTCTTAGGGATGGCTAGAGATGGAGGGAGAAGCTCTCTGTGGCAGGATGGGTCAACTCGGGGGTAAGATGAAGAGTGGCTGCAAAAGGTCCCCATGACCTCAATCACACTTCACCTCTTAGACCTACACTGGTAAAATGATGTTTGGAAAAGAAAATAGAATGAACAGGAAAAATGCTCGCATTTTTAAATTAAGTAAAAAAGAAAATTACCATCCCAACGTGTAGACTCCTGCAGATGACGGGGTGCACAAGGGACCCAGCTCCATTTGGGCACATGGTCCCGCTGGGGATCCCTGACTATCAAATGAAAGTGGCTCCCGCAGGGCTGGGACAGGATTCAGTGACTTCTGATACTTAAAACAGAGCAAAATTGTGTATAGGTGAAAAGCCAGGACCAATACAGTGAAGTGTAAAAGCTAATTATTTCGTGGTGGAGGATGTCTAACGGGTTGTCAGGGGAGTGGGCAGGAACATTTCGAGAGTCAACCCTGAGCTAGGGCCCATGTGGTAGGGGCACCCCTCGAGCAGCTTGCCCCCTTCTGCCTGTCTCCCCAGGCTTTCTTTCTGGAAAGAGTCCAGAAATTCTCAGGGCTGTGGAGAGTTGTGGGGAGACAGAGCCCAGGGGCTCCAGGGCACCTTGTTCAGTGGACAGCAGCTGGAGTCACTCCAGGGTACACCCTGCAGTTTTTCCTTTTCTCTCTTGTGTCCCCAGAAAGCGCCTTGAGAAGTTATATAAAGAAATATTCTACTTCAACTTTAAAAACCTATTTTATGCCACTGGTCGTCACAACACCTTCCTGTGCTACCAAGTAAAAAGAACACAGCACGGCTTAACCAACCCCCTGGACCGTGGGGTCTTTACAAAACAGGTACGGGCCAGACTCTTCCCATCTCAGGCAGGAGCTAAGCCAGGTGAGAATGCAGAAAAAATAACCAGTAAAATGCCAGACAGCCGTCCTGGAATCTGGTGAATGATGGTGTTTGACTTTTCACCAAAAAAAAAAAAAACCTGTTTAGAGTCAGTCACTCCAGTCCACTAGCAAAGCGCCTGTTTCCCAAAACTTTGTAACTGAGTAAGTATCTAGCAGTCATAGAAAAAACTATCTAGAAGGTTGGGTGTGTTGAATATCCAGCACCTTATCTGGCCCTACAGGCTGTGGGCTGTCCAGGCCTGCCCCTGTCACAACCTGCCCCTCCATGACAAGGATGTGTTATCACCCAAAGGACCACACTTCTCCAGCAGTTGCCAGGGGCAGGAATACCCCCTTGTAGCTGCTGCACTGACTGCTAATGTCCTGTGAATGTCCCCACACATCTGCTCTCTTCTACCACCCAGACTGCAGTCTTTTCCAGAATGTTTGGGTGAAGGGAGCCCTTTGTGGCAGGGAGGCTTGCCCCATATCAGTTATTTGATAGGACACACTAGGAGCCATACATGTCATTTCTTCCTAGTGCCCATTGTTTTAAAAGTTGTCAGAAAGGAGGTCAGGTGTGGTGGTGCACACCTGTAATTCCAGCTACACAAGAGGGATCAATAGGAAGATCCTGGTCCATGGTCTCAGGCCAGCCCCAGGCAAAAAAAAAAAAAAAAAAAGAAAAGTGTGAGACCCTCTCTGAAAAACAACCTAAAAGGCTGGGGCGTGGCTCAAGTGGTAGAGCACCTGCCCAGCAAGTATGAGCCTTAAGTTCAAATCCCAGTACTGAGGGAAGGAGGGAGGGATGGAGGGAAAGAGGGAAGGAGGGAGGGATGGAGGGAAAGAGGGAAGGAGGGAGGGAAGTGAGGAAGGAAGGAAGTTGGCAGAAAAAATCAATCTTAATGACTTATGTAGTCCAATATATGTAACATTTCCATGTATAATTGATATAAAATTATTTTTTTTTTTGGTAGTACTGGGGTTTGAACTCAGGGCCTCATATTTGGTAGGCAGATGTGCTGCCACTTGAGCCACTCTGCCTGCCCTAAAATTCTTTATGAGACAGTTTATATTCTGGGGGCTCCTGCCCTATCCCTCGTCCCCCCTCCATGTCGCCTGCTCCAGGATGATCCCCTCTCTCCACCAGTACTACTCCAGGACATGTCTCCACGCAGAGCAGTGCTTCCTCTACTGGTTCCACGAGCACATGCTGGACCCCGCGGAGGACTACCAGGTCACCTGGTATATATCCTGGAGCCCCTGCTCTACGTGTGCAGACGAGATGGCCAGCTTCCTGGCCACTCACCGCAACGTGAGCCTCACCATCTTCTCCGCCCGCCTCTACTACTTCTGGAACTCCGCGTACCAGAATGGGCTTCGCAAGCTGTATCAGGAAGGGGCCCAGGTGAAGGTCATGACCTTCCAAGGTGAGAGATGGTGGGAGGTCAGGGCTACAAAAAGGCTGGGATAAAGATCGGGCATGTCAGGGATGCCAAGAGTGAGCGCCCCAGGGGAGCCAGTGTGGGAAGGGAGAGAGGTCTATTGGGCTGACTGCCTTCTCTCCTCTTTTATCTCAGAATTTGAAGACTGTTGGGAAAACTTTGTGTACAACAAGGGAGAGTCATTCATGCCATGGAAAGGACTATCTAGAAATAATAGGTTCCTGAAAAATGAACTGAAGAAGATTCTTGGGTGAGGGGCTCCCTCATGCCTTGTCACCTCTCCTTGCCCCTCCTGTCTACCTTCACCAGGCCTCCTCTGCTCAGACCAGAACCCTCCCTGCCTGGCCTCCTGCTTCCCACTCCTGCCCTCTGCTGCTGCCCACAAATGCTCCCGCCACCTCCCCTGTCCTCCCTGCCTTAGTGCAGCCTCCTCCGGGCAGACCCCCTCCTCCTTCTGCCCCCCAACCTGGCGCCATCAATCTCGATGTGGTAGCTGAGTCTTGTTATTAAATTGGATAGTGGGTAGATGTGCAAAGCATGAATGGAAAGACAGGAGAACCACTGTTGGAGGCTGGCGGGGGTCTCAGAGAATGACCATCCTGTAGGAAGTGGCCGTTAGATCCAGGGCTGCGTAGATCAGATGCCACTGATCAAGTGCTGAGACCCCAGACTTGGCTTTCTCACAGTTCTGAAAGCCAGAAGGCCATGACCGAGGGATAGATGGGATTGTTTCTTCTGAGGCCTCTCTCCCTGGCTCTGTCACTTCTGGCCAAGTCCTCACGTGTCTTTCCTCTGGTTCTGTGTGACCCTGACATGTCTCCGTATGCCCAAATTTCCTTTTTCTATAAGGTCACCAATCAGATTGGATCAGGGCTCACCCTAAAGGCCTAATTTTAATGCAATTACCATCTTTAAAGAGCCTGTGTCCAAATATGGTTCCCATTCTGAGTTCTGGGGCTTTAGGCTTCAACACATGAATTTGGGCCCATGACTGACTGACTTAGGGCCTTCTTAGGCTGAACTAGGTGGGGAGTTCAGAAGCCCTTGTTCTCTGTGTTAGCCTCCCATGGAATCCCCAACCTGGCCAATAACCCCTTCCAGGATCCTGGAGTCTTCCATCCATCACCATCATCCACCTTGTCTGGTTCCCAAATCCCTCCCAGAGATGAAACTGTAGCTATGGTGGTGGGGACTGTGGAGAAAAAAGTAACAAAAGTATACATAAAATTGTAGGGTAGCGAAAGAGACACGGGATTTGACAGAGCTTCTCCTCAGGCAAAATAGAGGGGGACAAGAGAGCCGGAAGGGACAGGTCAGGTGATCCAGGTGACAAAGGACCCGAGTCTGCAGCAAGGTACCGATGAAAGTGTTTGGGAGAAAGCTTAGGCAACACCTAGGTTGGCCTGGGCTACTAGCCCCTGCCCTCCTCTGCCATTCCATGACACAGTGACAAAGCAAGAGCTCAGCCTGACATAGGGTAACTTCAGACAGGAAGACACAGGAGGTTCAGCAGGAAGAATTCTGCCAGTGTGGGAAATCATTGAACACAGCTACACACCACCAGCTGATCCTTCCTTTGCTCCCCCTACCCCTGCTGGGGTCCCTGAGCATGGTTCCTGAAGGCATCACCCAGGGCTTCCCTCTGGCTACGTCATGTGCCTGCCTTGATGCTTTCCTTCTTCTCAATCTCCCCCAAGGAGGGAGGCACAAAGAGGCACCCATCTGGCTATATGGACAAACACCCCAGTGTGCAGATATGATCTCTCTTCCTGGAAGGGCCCAGCTCACTCTGGAATCTTGCATGGACATTAGGACAAATGAGGGTGGAGGGGATGGCATTACCAGTGACCCTCTAAACTCTTGCTCCAATCTCTGTTGTACCAGGTGCCATTCTGAGGCAAGTGAGCAGAAAGGGGGTATGGGGAAGTTAAGGTAATGTCACCCTGTGTCAGCTTATTAACTATGAGCCTGGCACTGTACGTTCCTGAGCACAATGAAAGGTTCCCCCCGCAGCTCTTCAGGCCTGCTCACACTTGCAGTGTTCACGAGGACTCCTGTGCATGTGAAGTCAGGACTTGGGGGTGACCAGGGAAGGCTCCAAGTCCTCCTCCCTCAGGATTCAACTTTCACAAAATGCCCTTTGTTTTTTTAATCTGAGAATCCGAGGTTTTTCACTTTGCCAAGGCAGGCAGATAGCTTCAGGAATGTGAACTTGAAGTCCAAGTCCTTGATTCTCAGACCTGGAGGCCCTGCAGGGGCAGCAAGTCCCCTCCTCTGTTCTCTCCTCCCCCACTCCTTTCCTGGGAACAAGGGACACGGAAGTGGCCAGTTGTGGAGGAGGGAACAGCCAGGCAGACCTGGTGAGCACAACAGCTCTGTTGCTTATTTGCTGTGTGACCTCAAGCAAAGCTAAGAAACCTCTGTGCTGAGACCTCTGAGATGCCAGAGTTATAGATCTCCCCTGTCAAGGATATTAGGGGATTCAGTAATGGGTGGGGCACAGGCTCCATCAACACACCTGCCTCCCCTGGGGTTGGAAACCCCGTGCCGTCAGCTCCATCTTTGAATCATGCACAGAGTCCTGCTGGGAAACAAAACCACGAGTGCTATGGAGGGGTGGTGTGGAGAGGGCTCCAGTCGCCCGCCTCCAGGGAGGGGGGTCTGTCCTGTCCTTCGCCCGCCTCCCTCCTGCCTGCATCAGTGACTTTCTCTTTCTCTTTGCAATCCTGGTGGTTCTGCTACACGAGGGGGCCTGTCTCCAACACAGGCCCCAATTTTGCTGAGCCGGGGAACAGAGGGAAGGACAGAAGGTGGGTCTGAGCCCTTGGCCCTCCCATTCTGGAGCTGAAGCAGGAAGAGGGTGGGGCCTGCTTTCAGAAGGCTCCGGAGGTCACTCACAGATCTGGGGTCTCCCAGAGCCAAGGACCCAGAACATAAGGATACCAAAAGCAGGGCTGGGACCGGCCTACCCAGGATGCTGCAGGGCGCTCCACAGGTCAGGTACGAGGGAGGGCCGAGAGGAAAGAAGATGGGCTGGGGGCCAGGGAGGGAAAACCACCCTAGGACCACCCCACCCCGGTGACTGAGGCACAAAAGGGGTGTAACCCTAGCTCAGGCAGATGTAGGAGGATAGGCACATACGAGGGACTTTCCCAAGACCAAGAGTAGTCTTGTGAGCAGGAAATGGAATCTTAGCAAGCAGACACAGTGAAGGGGAGAGGTTGATGGGCCTGATGGGAGGATGAGGTGCCTGTGGAGCTCCCCCTCCCCTGGAGCCTCAGCTCCGTTTCTTCTGAAGCCCCCACTCCCTCCCCCCACATTCTGTGTCTGTAGCGGTCTGATTCCTTAAAGCCGGTTTCCAAGTTCAGCTACAGACCTGAGGTTGCAGGATGAATGGTATAAGGCTTGAGGGTGGCTATAAAGCCGTCTTTATAAATTGCATTGTAAATACTGGCACACACGTGCAATTTGTGCTTTGTGGAAGAAAAACTAGGAGATAAGGAGGTACATTGTTTCCTATGAAGACAGATACTAGGGATGTGAAACAAAACTCAGTCTTAATTCTTACAAATTGTTTTCTAGCACCCCCTTTATCTCTTGAAGTCAAGGTTCTTAGTTTGTTATCAAGAGAGTAACTGTCTAAAATTGTATTAAAATACCAATTTTGATGGGGGCCAATTTGCCCAGGACTGGGTAGGTGCCTCAGTGTTAATATGGAAGTGCCCAGGTAAACAGGGCAGTTGTACACACGTTTTTGTTTTAGCCCTTACCTGGAGGGCGGCCAATTGCCCTATTTGAGGATGACTGACTGTTAAGCCAAGGCCATGGCCCAGGGACAGTCTACCAGCTCTTCAGCAGTCTTCCTGCAGATCCACCTGATCTGCAGGTGTCAAAAACAGGTTTCTACTGATGAAATTTGTGGCTTTGTTAATTAGCGTAACAGATGCTAGCAGTATCAATTGTTTGCAGGAATTGGTATTTTGAAACTTAACTCATCTGTGCCCTGAGGACCAACACCCTCAGTCTGAATTTCCTGTTTAGACACAATTGTGAGGGTTCGTAGTCACCTCAGCCTGACTAAGACCTGTTTGTCTTGACTAGTATGTCAGAGTGTCCAGAAAGATGGTGTGCTGGGTGTCCACAAGACACTTAACCATTAATGTCCTCGTGCCGTGAGCTTCATACATGTGCCTTCTGTGGGCTTCTCTGTGGGTTTCTGTCACTGCTTCCATCTGTGCAAAAAGTATCCAGGATTGGGTGAGTGGCTCCAGTGATAGAGCACCTGCCTAGCAAGTGTGAGGCCTTGAGTTCAACTCCTCGTACCACCAAAAAAATATTCAGTAGAGTTGAAGGTGTTGCACTGTGGTAGAGGTACTTGCCTTGCCTCGCATGTGCTAACCCCGAGTTCCATCCCTAGCTCTGCAAAACAAAGCTATGTAAGTCCTTCAACCAAAAGTCACAGCTACAACACTACCTGGTGACAACAGTTTCTCCTGGTTGCTGCATCTACGTTATTTGAGCAGACAAAATTCCTATCCACACATCTTAGCAAAGAAAACAGAGTTTGAGGGAATACTGGCTTCTATCACCTCCCTCTCCAGAGAAACGCCCTGGTGTTAGACATATTGGGGTTCCAACGTCTCTGGGATCCCCAGGAGGGATCGCCCAACTGGTAGCAGGACTGTAGGGTCTGGGGCTCAGGATGAAGGTGTGTGAGTGACATGGAGCAAAAGGTCTGAGCCAGAAGAGATGCACTGTTGTCCAAGAGAAAAATGCACCGCAGTTCAGGGAGGGGCTTCCGGAGGCATCCCAGTGACAAGGGCTAAGTGTTCTCGTGCAAACAGCCTCAAGCACAGGCTGTGGTGATGGCCCTGCCAGTGGGGAGGATAGGAGCAGCATGCAGCGCCCCCTGCTCCTCCTTCCCCAGCCCTCCCTGACCTCCCCTGGGGCCCAAGAACCCACCGAGTTGGGCCCTGAGAGTGAGCTGAGTGGAGCCCAACCCGGGGGGCTCCGGAGGACTCTGCATCTTTGACTTGTTTCTTGTCACCCAGAAGCCCGATGAGTCTGCTGAAGGAAGACATATTCCTCTACCAGTTTAACAACCAGCAGCAGGTCCAGAAGCCCTACTTCCGCAGGAGGACCTACCTGTGCTACCAGCTGGAGCAGCCCAATGGCTCCCGGCCACAGTGGCCTGCCAAAGGCTGCCTTCAAAACAAGGTGCCACACAGGAGCTCTCAGTGCGCAGCAGGCAGGTGGCACACTCCATCGGGTGTGCAGGAAAAAATTTGGGTCATGCGAGCCTGGAAGGTGCCCAATTGTCATGTCAATGCCCTCTGTCTTCCTAACCTTTGTTGTGTTCCAACCCCTGGCTGTCCACATTCTTTCCGTCCTCCGTGGACCTCACAGAGGCTGTTCCCTCCCACAGAATGCTCTTCCTGCCACTCGTGGAGATGTTAGTGTTTACTCACCTCCCATCTCAGCTCAGCCAGCGCCTTGGCGTTGGAGAAACCAAGGTGCTATCACACACCTGCCTCCCGCATTGCCGCTGTCTGTGAGCCTGCTCGTCCCTCCCTCTCCCATTCCCACCTTCTCCTGAGGATCCTAGGGTAAAACATCTTGGGCTAGTGTCCCAAGGCAAGATCACAGAGCATTTGGAACTGTGCCCTGGAGGTGTGGTCTGTTTGCTGACCCCTTTATTCTGGCACTGGGATCCTTGTCAGACTTAGAAAAGGCCTTGGGAGCTTTGGGAACACGGAGTTAGTGGCTAGGTGACTGAGTGCAGGAAGCAGGTCATTCCTTGTGCTGGGGCAAGAAGCCTCCACTAGAAAATTCACAGGACAGACCCCATCACCACACCATATGCAGCCTCTGCCATCTAACCCTTTCTTCTCTCTGGAACCCCTCTAGAAGGGTCACCATGCAGAAATTCGCTTTATTAAGAGGATCCATTCAATGGGACTGGAGCAAGACCAGGACTACCAAATCACCTGCTATATCACATGGAGCCCCTGCCTGGCCTGTGCCTGCGCATTGGCTGAGCTCAAAAACCATTTCCCTCGACTCACGCTTCGGATTTTCGCCTCCCGCCTGTACTTCCACTGGATCAGGAAATTTCAGATGGGGCTGCAACACCTGTACAAATCCGGGGTCCTGGTGGCTGTCATGAGCCTCCCAGGTAGGAAGGAGGGACAGTGCTGTCAGCGGCTGATGGAGGACACGCTGGTCCTGCAGGGCAAGCCATGGGGCAGGTGGATGGGGAAAAGGCTGGTCAGGAAGGAAGGATGGTGGCCCAACTGAGGCCAAAGACTTGACACCACCTGGAAGGAAAGATTCCAAGAAGAAAATAATGCCCAGGGAGCAAGAGGGGGAAGGAGGAAGGAGTCCCTACCCGAGGCTGCAGCTCCTTTCCCTGGGGTCTCATTGGCTCCCTTCTTCCACCCCAGAGTTTACTGATTGCTGGGAAAAGTTTGTAAACCACCGGCAAGTGTTCTTCACTCCCTGGGATAAACTAGAGGAACACAGCAGAAGCATCCAGAGGCGGCTCAGGCGGATCCTGCAGGTGCCTCCCTCCTGTCACCTGCCCCACTGGCTCTTCCTCCTCTCCTCTCTCCCCACTGCCCCCCGCCTCGTCTCACTCCCTCTTTTGATCCTCTCTCCCAAAAGGGACTCCCAAGTTTCCTTTTCTTAGACATTCTTGCCACCCCTCTGGTTTTGCCCCAGTTCTTTGAACATCACACTGTCATCTGTCCCTCCCTTTCCCTCTCAGTGCCTCACCCATTGTCATTTCTTTGCTCAACAGTCCTGGGATGTGGATGATTTAACAGATGACTTCAGAAATTTACGGCTTTGACCCACTTCACCTTCAGTGACAGGAAGGGACTTCTGACCATTCCTGGAGCACCATGTGGCCTACCAAACAGGAGCAAGCAGCAAGCTGCAAATACCTGGCCCAACCCAAACCTGGCCCTGGTTCAAGTCTAAAAGACCTTTCTTTCCTCTCAAATTTTTGTTTTATCTTCTTTTGTAAGTGAGGGAATAATTTTATAATTAAAAAAAAAATTTTTAAAGTCTATGAAATCTGGGTTACTTTCCCAGGGGGAAATCAAATCTTTCTATCATAAAAATGAGAATAAAAAACTTCCATTCTATAGCACCAAGTCAAAAAAGTTTATTGGAGAATTGCTGTAGAGTGTAGGGTGGTTGGATTTGTTGGTCCAAGCCCAGTCTCTAATATGTGTCTAAGTAAATAGAGTAAAGCTACTGAGCAGAGATGTCCCAAAGTATTGATTAAGAAAAAACAAAACAAAACAAAACACTTGGGATTAGATTAGTCAGGGTTCTTGGCTGAAGCAAAAAGCAGCAACTCCAGCTAATTAAAACAAAAATTAATTTTAATGACATTGGAGCCAGGCGCCAGTAGCTCACACCGATAATCCTAGTTACTTGGGAGGCTGAGATCAGGAGGATCTCAGTTCGAGGCCCTGGGCCAATAGTTCTCTAGCCCCTCATCTCCAAAATAACCACAGCAAAGTGTACTGGAGGCATGGCTCAAGAGGTAGAGCGCCTGCTTTGCAAGTGTGAAGCCCTGAGTTCAAATCTCAGACCCATCAAAAAAAAAAAAAAGAAGAAGAAAAGACATTGGCTGACTCATTAAATCTCTAGAAAAGGTGGAGGAGTAAATTAGGAGCTTTCAAAGCCAGAAAGGACTCCCAAAACTGTGCTTCACAGCTGGCCTGGGGAAGGCAGCATAGCTGCTGTGCAGATTCGCCACCCCCTCACCCCAGACATGACGCTGACATAGAAACTTCAATCTTAGCTACCTTCATGTCAGAATGAAAAGAAGGAAGGCAGGGAGGAAATAAGTTAAATAATGAGCACAGCAAAGATGAAAGAGGAAAATCAACTGTCCTACACTAAGTGTGAACAGAATAAATTCTTCCACACTGTTTACAGTAAACATCTTAAAAATAAATAAATAAATAAAGGTTGAGCTCGAGCTGGGGGCTCACGTGTATAATCCTAGCTACTCAGGAGGCAAAGATTAGGAGGATAGAGGTTCAAAGCCAGCCCAGGAAAATCAAGAGATTCCATCTCAAAAATATCCAACACAAAACAGGGCTGGTGGAGTGGCTCAAGTGCTAGAGTACCTGTCTAGCTCGTATGAGGCCCTGGGTTCAAATCCCAGTACCACAAAAATTTTTCTTAAATAGAGGTTGAAAACAAAGGGATAAACAAAGACATTCCAGGCAAATTAAAACTTAAGGAGAAAGCAGGAACTGGACACGGTGTACCACAACTATAATCCCAGCACTGGGACTGAGGGAGAATTGAGAGTTCAAGGCCCCCCTGGCTATAACTATGACACCATGTCAAAAAGAAGGAGGAAGAAGAGGAGGAAAGCAAGAGTGGCAATATAACACAAGTTGGAGTTTTAGGCATCCAACAGCTTAAAGAGGGACTTAATGAAATGACATAAAGAAACAACTGAAGAAAAAGATATGAGCAATAATAATCATAAATTTGTATATACCAATAAACAGCAGCCAATTACATGAGGAAAAACTATTCGAAACCTCACATTTGGTGGAGTGGTAATGTTGGTAGCAGAAGAGATGAATCAATGATTGACCTAATCACACAGTCCTATTCCCCTTTGTCAGGTATGTGTTATGTGTTTTCTCTCAAAGCTAGGAGTGGTTACAGTGAAAACATGCCTGCTAGGAAGGAAAGGAGGGAGGGAAGGAGGAAGGAAGGAAGGAAGGAAGGAAGGAAGGAAGGAAGGAAGGAAGGAAGGAAGGGTTTCAACCTAGTCAACCATTGCTCCAGGACAATGGTGGAGTAGGATGTTGGTAAAACATACCCAGATTTGGTGCTGGCCTGCTCCCTAGCTCCTTTGTGTTAGTGCTGTTCCATTTCCCTTCCTCCCGAATATCATCTGTACTGGGTACTTCCAAAACTCATGCACTTCCTGGAACGGCAGAATGTGACTTTATTTGGAAAATGTCATTGATTAAATGAGGACATGCTAGGCACTGGCAGCACACGCCTGTAATCCTAGCTACTCAGGAGGCAGAGATCAAGAGGATAGCAGTTCAAAGCCAGCCTGGGCAAATACTTCTCGAGACCCTATCTTGAAAAATATCCAAGCAAAACAGGGCTGGTAGAGTGGCTCAGATGGTAGAGCACCTGCCTAGCCAGCATGAGGTCCTGAGTTCAAACTCCAGTACCACAAAAAAAAAAAAAAGAAGAAGAAGAAGAAGAAGACATACTGGATTGGGATGGAATTTTCTAATCCAACAGGAACACTAGGTACTGTGTTCTTCTCATTGTGCTCCTTCAGGAGTCATGTAATTTCAACTTATCCCATTGCTCACAACGACCATTCTGGACATTTAATTAGCATGGAGCCTGTGAGGTTCTCCACTGAGAAGTTAGCCTATTTCCTGCTGAGATTAATAACTGTTTCCTAGAGTAAATCCTGTGGAACTATGGAAATATCCCACTCTACTCCTTCCCCATCCCCTGGCTAGCTTTCATTCCTCTTTCGTTTGACTGATTCATTCATTTTTACTAGGGTTTTAGGAGGGAGGAGAGCTTAAAGTCTTGGATGCCATTTGCTGTCTTGAGCCATAGGGCTGGCAATGCTGGCTGAAGGACTGGATAGATGAAAATATAGGAAAAATTAAGAAATTGGAGGAGCAGGTGAAAAATGTCCCCTCCTCCTCATGGGCACAGTGCATGCCACTCTGGTGATATACGGGGTGGCAAGAAGACCGCCCCAGGGTCAGCCCCAAGTGTTCATGCTTGGTAACAGTCACCACAAAATAACAACTCTGCTTTAAAGGAAAAATAGAAAAGAGCTTATTCTGAATCAAATATGAATAAGCCAGGCCCAGGAGCACAGGTTCAAATTGCTGTGAATGAGTGTTCCAAAGAAGAAAGGAACTGTGACAATGTTCATCGAGAACACAGGCAGGGAGCACATTAGCAGACTGAGTTAACAGAGGGGGGCTTCTGACCTTCAGATCCCACTGCATCTTGCTTCATTCTTAGTGAGATTGATCGGGTTTGGGGTGTGCTTGGCTGACCTGTGGGTTGGTAACCAGGCCAAACATATGCCCTGGAAAGTTCACCTTGTTAGGTGTTCATGAGAACGTTAGGTAAGATGTGAAAGTCAGGGAGAGTATGACAAGTGTTGGTAGATGCGACACCCCTCTCCCCACCACACACACACACTCGAAAGCTCTCTGGGGTTCTCAGAGTTTAAGATGGAGACAGAGCCCATGTGCAGAGCGACACAGGTGAGGACGAGCGCCTGACACAAGTACAAGTCTCCCCTCACTGTGTTCTTGCCTGCACCCGCTCAGAAATGGGGGCACCATTAGCACCTGCCTCCAAAGACCCTTGTGCCTGTGCAGGAGCGATGCACGAGAGCCATGTGAGCTCCTGTGACTTCTCAGAGACCCACAGCTAGGGTTAAGGCTCAAAGCTGAAAACAAAACATGCTACCGACTCTGATTCCTAAAGGAGGGGGAGGTCACCCCCCACCATGCAGGATCTCACACACACATGCAAGCAGACACACACATGCACACACCACTCACACACATGCAAGCAGACACACAGGCACACTCAAATTCCCACGTGTGCACACATGCATGGATGTACAAATGCATGCTCACATGCATGCATACACCCACAAAGGCACATTTGTACATATACACTCATGTGCACACATGTTCATACACAATGCACTCACGCATGTACACACATGCACACACAATGCATGCAGCCACTCCATGCTCTGAATCCTTTCTCTCCCTGCTCCCCTTCCTGTCCCCTCCCACCAATCCTGTGACTTCTTCTACCACTTTTGTGCCCATGACCTCACCTTTGCACCCCAACAAGTGTAGGGTAACACAGGGTGAGGGAGCCCAGGTGAAGACAGGCCAGGGATTTGTCTTTATGTTGCTGCCCTTACTTCTGTATGTTTGACTTTCTCCATAATAAAAAGCTTAAAAACCAAGCAAATCCCTCAAACATGTTTTTCTCCCCTAAGATTCAGAATACCTCAAAATCCATGCTAGGGACTGGATGATTGTGTCCCCCAAATGCACATGTTGAGGCCCTAACTCCCAGTGTGACAGGATTTGGAAGTTGGATCTTTGATGGGTGATTATGTTTCCATGAGGTCATTAGAGTGAGGTCCCATGGTAGGGTCAGGAAGAGATACCAAAGCATCCTCTCTCCTCCAGAGATGCTCAGGTGACAAGACAGCTGTCTGCAGACCAGCAAGCAGTCCTCACCAGACACCAAATCCCCTGCACCTAGATCTTGAACTTTCCAGCCTCCAGAACTGTAGGAGATAAACATCGTGTTTCAGCTACCAGCTTGCAGTGAGCAGCTTGTGTGAAGACACCACAGTCACTTGCCACTCAGAATGAAACCTGCCACAGCTCCTTCCTTTGTATGCAAGATGCTTTGGCTGCCTGCTCATGCCTTCTCATCCTTGTTTCCGGTTCTAGCATGGCTGGGTTCTTTTCTTCCTGCCCCAGTTGGGGGTGGGGGGGTCCCTTGGACCCCAGGTGTGAGTGCCTGGGCCTCCATGCAGGCGTGGCTCACCCTAGATGTGAGAAATATGCTCAAAGAACAGACTCAGAGACATGTAAGTGTAACAGAAGCAAAACTTTGATGGCAGCCTTTCAGGATTGGGTGTCTAGTAGTCAGGCACGCCCACAGCAGTTACAGTAAGCATTTGTGGCTGGCATGCGGGTCCCTGCCTGGCTCCTTACTGGTTGAGTACTAATGGAGTTTTCATTCTCCCCCACACACACCATGTCACTTAATTCCTACTGTATTATTTAAAATATACCTCTCTTGGGATGGGTCAAATTTTAGAAGTGGGATTCACCTCTTCCTGTGGCGAGGGTCTCCTTTGATAGGTGCCTTCGGGCACATGCACAGTTTTTACCTGTGTTCTCTTTCCATCCTGATTTACTCCTCCCAGTTTGAGTTCCCGTATCTGTTC